TGGAGTCAGGAAGGCCAGAGAGTCAAATGCAGACTCCACCACTTGGTGCTGTGTGACCTCAGGCAAGTTCCTTAACCTCCCTGAGCCTCAGTTTCCCTGTCTATCATAAGGATTAATGAAGTGGTGGATGTACAAGCCCTGGGTCATTCCCCCAGCAAACGTGAGCATGCCCTAACTTCAAAGGGAGCAACGCGGCTGTCTGTACGTGCTCCTGGAGGCCAAAGAAGAAAAGCTGGAGGGGTCAGGGCATCTTGGAGGAAGGACAGAGTCCCTTCCCTGAGGCAGCATTTATTCCCTCGCTGCTCTAACTCTCAAGGCAAGCGAGCAAATGCTCTGGAGCTTGAGCCTAAACAGGCTGGCAGCGGCCAGGGCCCCAGGGAACTGGGCACTCGGGCCATCTGCAGACTGCTGAGTGCTAACAAGGCCCCTGGTGAGGCACATGGCTGGGGGCAGCCCGCAGGGTCGGAGACCTTGGCAGTGGCTGCCAGCCTTGCAGACAGCGGGAATTCTGGAGTGGCCCGGGCCCACGGCCTTGAAAAAAACCTGCAAGCCGGCCAGCGCTGGCAGAGGCAGATTCCGCCAGCACCAGAGCCGGGGGAGTGCACGCTCGCCCTCTTAGGCCTCTCGCCTGGGCCTCAAGCTGCTATCCCAGCCTGGGGGGGGGCGCGGCCCAACCATTGAGTCACTGTGCCAACTTCCTTGGGGCCACAATGGAAAACCCCGCGGGCTGAGCCCAGCGACCCCCCCAAAGGAAAAGAAACTGGGCCACAAGGCCGAAAAGGCTGGGAAAGCCCCGATGTGGCAGGAAGGGGTGCTGGACTTACGTGCCCTTGTTTCCCTTTCTCCAGCGTGAAGTCCTTCTTTGAGAGCCTGAAAGTTCCCAGCCAAGCGCCCGCCATTTGCGCAAGATGGCTCTTTCCCTGTGTCCCCCCCCCCGCAATGGTTTTATATCATTAATCCTTAAAAAACAAAAATAAAAAGACCCAACTTTTTCTTTTGAAATAATTTCAGGCTTGCAAAAAAAAAGTGCAATACTTACAAAAAAGAATGGCGGTATACCCGTCAAAACCAGATCCCCAATGTGAGCAATTCGCCGATTTGTGTTACTTTCTCCCCCTTCCCCATTTTTCCCTTAGGCATTTGCGTGTAAGTCACAGACACGACACTTCTTCGCCCCGAAGTACTCCAGTGTGAGTTTCCTAAAAACAAGGGCATTTTCTTACAGGATCACAGTACGACGATCAACCTCAGGAAAGGCACATTGTGCCAGGTACTTCACGTGCCACCTGCGATGTTCCTGGCCTTGCCTGTCTCTGGGGCCAGCCAGCATCGGGGAGGGCTGGGGCGCCGATGCTGGATGCTCGGGGAGGGCTGGGGTGCCGATGCTCGCAGGGCGAACCCTTGGCCAACAGGCGCTGGGGGCGGTGGGTCAACCCCGCTTCCTCCCCGCACCTGTCCTCAGACCCAGTTTATTCCGTCTCTTGGAAGACATCCCAAGGAGACAGCAATCAGTCACATCAGATACTCAGGGGCAGGACTGTCACACCACCAAGGGCCCCACACTCAGCAGGGGCCCTTGTGCCTGAGGTTTTACGCTCTGCAGTCACCGTCAAATTCTTAATAATTTTATCTTTCAATTTGTGAGCTGTAAACCAAGTCCGATGGGACAACAAGGCAGGTGCCCTGGGCTCAGAGTATAAGCTCCCACGCGGTCCAGCCTCCTGCCTTCTGGGGACGGGTCCTCGGGTACCGGATTCCCAGCCACCACAGGGCGAACCTGCCACCCTCTCCCGCTGGCAGGGGCCTGGGCGCAGGTGGAGGGAGGTAACACCCCATGCACCTTTGGGGAACTACACCCCTTGTGGATGCATCTCACAAGCTCCAGCGAGGCACTGTTATCCCCATGTGCAGAAGGGGTGCTGGACCAGGGAACAGCCCGGCGTTTCTGCTGCAGAGGGAAGTTCACTCCTCGCCCCACAGCCTTGCCCGCCCCGTGCTGCCCTTGCTTCTGTCCTTGCACGCTGCTCGAGGACCACACCCTCCTAGATGCACGGCTCCCACGCCACACGGCCTCCTGCCTGCCTGAGCCGGCCGGCTAGTCACCGCAGTCACACCGTCTTTGTTTCTGCAGCCACTCACCCTGCAAACCCCAAGCATGTTGCAGACGTCACCTGCAGTGGGTACTGTTATCCTGCCACCCATTTCGCAGATGATATAACCGAGTCTCAGAGAGACTGGCCCGCCCAAGTTCAGCCAGTGTTAGTGGAGCTGGATTCGAATCCAGTTCTTCCTGCTCCAGAGCCGAAACTCTAACTCAGACATTGACTTGGTTGTTTAGAAAGTCTCTTCTGTGACCATCTGGACGTCGGGTAATTGACCTGCTTCTTTGAACCACACAGGGACTGTGGACACACAGAAGGGTGCTGGATGTGGATTGGGGAGTGAGGCGCAGCGAGGGCCTGCGAGTGACGCTGGCACCCTGGCCAGGTGGGCCTAGGGCGGGCTCTCGCCACGGCCCAGCTGGGCCTGGGCCTGGGTGTTCTTCCTGTGGCCCAGTGCCACCAGCAGAGAGAGCAGGTCTGAGTCATCCAGAGAGAAGGAGTCAGTCGGGAGTCCCTGTCCCTGACTCCTCATCATGCATTCCAGTCCCTGGCTCCCGGCAAAACTCCACTAACTTCTTAGCTCGCCCCACCCTCTTCTCTGAAATAAATCAAAGAAGTTTTAAGCTGGGAAGGAGGTCACCTAATCCACCTCTTCAGTTAGCAAACGGAGGGCCTGGGGTTCTGACAGGGTCCCCACAGATTAGAAAATGCCTGGGCTTGCCTCCTGGGAGGAATTTTGTCTCTGCTGCCAAGTTCCTGTAAGCTCTGGGCCAATTAAGCTCTCCGAGTTGGAACTTTCTCCTAAATGGGGCTGTTCATAGTAGTATTTTGCTCAAAGACTCACCGGGAGCATGAAATACAAGAGCATTCTGCTGTGAGCGCCCCTCAAGGCCTCCTAACCGGCTCACGGACACACGTGTGAGGGAGGCACTATTAGAATCCCCACTTCTAGAGGGGAAGCAGAAGCTCAGAGAGGTTAGGTCACCTATTTAAGGCAACCCAGCAAGCAAAGCAGAGCCGAGCTCTACCAGATGACTGAGCAGAGCGGTTGCCTTCCCCACCGGGTGCAGGGCCCAGAGGGGCGGCCAGCACTGGCCTGGCCGTGTGCCGGGGCTCCAGAGTCCAGCCAGCCAGCACTGGGAGCTCAGAGGAGCAGAGAGGAGCAAGGAAACCGACCCCCTCCAGATAAACAAAGCACTTCCTCCCCAAGGCCGGCCCAGCAGGAGGAGGTGCCTCCAGCACAACTGTTTATAGAGACAGATGTTTTGGACGGAAAAAGAGCGGCAGCCCTCCTCCATCCCCATGGAGACAGAGGAAGTTTGCAACTTGGGCAGCGGCAACTGGGATTGAAAAAGGAGAAGGGGAAGAAGGGAGGGAGCCAGGTCTGACCCACTGAAAACAGCTTGACATTTTCAGACGCTGGTGCCTAACAAAGGGGCGTTGCCACGGCAACCGGGCCTGCGGGCACTGGGCTGCCAATCCCAGCGGGACCAGGGGCCAGAGCCAGGGAGGTGGCGAGGAGATAAGTGAGTGTAAGTGGGAGGGCGGGAGCAAAGAAATGAGCAAATGTCACTCGGGGTCCCCTCCTCCCAGCCCCTGCCCCTCCCCCACCCCCTCTCTCCTTTCTTCTTCCCCTCTATCCTGCCATCCATCCTCCCTCCTTCCCTCTTCCCCTCCTTCCCTCCGTCTTCCTTGCTTCTCAATGTTCCACGGTCACCTCTGCCCCCAGCCCAGGAAATGTGTCCCCATCGTCCTGCTGACAGTTGGCAGAAGGGAGGAGAGAAGGGGCCTGTCCTAGGAACCACATCTGTCCTTGGGACTCCTCTGCTCGCTCCCCCAGCACAGCCTGGGGGGCTCCCTGCAGACCCTCGAGCCCCTGGGTGAGACCTGATGGGCGCTGATGTTGGTGACACGGTTGTCCCATCACCCCGGGGCTGTGACGATGTCCACTGCGGGATTTACACTGGGGGCTACCGCCCACGCTGACCTGCTACCCACCCACCCCCAGCTTTCTCCTCCTCCAGCTCCGCCAGATGAGCCTGGTGTCTCCTCCTTGCCTCCCTCCAGGGCAGGCAGAAGGGGGGCGACTTCCGATGACCTCTGGCCGAGGTGACGGGAATCCCTGGAGCCAGCGTGTTCTGTGGGAAAGAGCCGAGGAGCGCTGGGCTGAGTGTCCACGCTGGTCCTGGGGTCACCGCCTCCAGTCCCGAGGAGGGGTCCAACCCCCACCCAGCCTCTGAAACCTCCCAGGATGCAGTGAGGGGAAGGCAGGCCACGGCGGGACCACGCCTGGATGCAGGAGCCCTCCAATTCCCAGGCTGGAGCGGGGAGTGGGGAGGTGTCGGGGCAAGTGTCCTCTGACACACGGGGACAGGACATTTAACGGGGCTGGTGGCTGAGTGCCTCAGGGCTGAGGGAGGTGCGAGCTGTCCACAGCTGGAGATGGGGCCTCAGAAGGCAGGCTGGGGGGGGCTGCCGAGTACAGACCCAGGGTCCAGATGCGTGAGCTCTCGCTAGGGCCTGGGGGTGCTGGGAAGGCAGGACGCAGAAGCCCTAGAGATGACTCACCAGGAACACCACTCCAGGCCGGGCGCGGTGGCTCACGCCTGTAATCCTAGCTCTCTGGGAGGCCGAGGCGGGCGGATCGCTCGAGGTCAGGAGTTCGAAACCAACCTGAGCAAGAGCGAGACCCCCGTCTCTACTAAAAAAAATAGAAAGAAATTAATTAACCAACTAAAAATATATATACAAAAAACTAGCCGGGCATGGTGGTGCATGCCTGTCTCAGCTACTTGGGAGGCTGAGGCAGGAGGATCGCTTGAGCCCGGGAGTTTGAGGTTGCTGCTGTGAGCCAGGCTGACGCCACGGCACTCATTCTAGCCTGGGCAACAAAGTGAGACTCTTTCTCAAAAAAAAAAGAACACCACTCCGCAGAGGGGCAGGGGACTTTGGGTGGGCGGAGGCCAATGAGAGCGTCCATCAGCTCCCAAGCAAGCCTGAGACCAAGGACAGAAGGCGGGCTGGGCCCCCCGACCCTTGGAGCAGCCTGGCCACAGCGCCCCAACCCAGGCCTAGCCGCACTCTCCCCCCACCCCGAAAGAGGCCCCCGCTGCCCAGCTGCCCAGCAAACAGCACACGCCAATTCCTGCCTCTGCCTCCGCTGGCTGGGTGACCTTGGGCAGGTTATGGAACCTCTCTGGGCCGCAGCTACCTTGTCTACAAAATGGGGACGACAGCTATGCTTTACTCAGGTGTTGCGAAGGTCAAGGGAGAGGCCGTGTAGAAGCGGGGCCTGCCATGATTGAGCACCTACTGGGTGCCAGGCCCTCTGCTGAGCCGCTGGCCCTGTTTAGGAAAGAGGCAGCCCGGGGCGCGTGGGCGTGTCCCACAGGACGCGCTCACCTGGTTGGAGCCTTCCCTGAACCAGTGTAGGAGGTCGCCAGGGGGGCAGCCCAGCTCAGCCACCGCCAACTGCCGCCCAAGGCCAGACCAGCCGCTGCCTGGTTTGGTTGCACCTTCCAACAAGGAATGACTTTTACATTTTTAAATGTTTGAAAAACAAATCGAAAGAAAAATAGTATTTAATAAGCGAAAATTATATGAAATTCAAGTGTTGGTGTGCATGAGCAGCGATATAGGGGCACAGCCACGTGGCTGCTTCCTCACTAAGCAGAGACCGAAATGTCTATTACCTGGTCCTTTTCAGAAAAAGTTTGCTGCCCTCTGGCCTGGGGGAAGCAGGGACAGAGGCCTCTGGGAAGAGAGAGTGGAACTTTCCGGGGAGCAGGGAGCTGGTGGCAGGTGTGTTGGGAGTGAAGGGGGTGGGGTGGGGAGGCTGCAGGGGCCACTGTGTCCTGGCATCGGGGAGGGCCCTCTTCATCCCCACCCAGGAGAGGGAGGGTTCTGTCCACTTGCCACCAGCCGGGTGCCACCTTGCAGAAGCCCGCCCCTAACCCCTGCAAAGGCAGAGGAGAGGAGGGGACAGATAGGAGCAGAGCCATCCCTACCTGCTCAGGGAGAGGAGCAGCAGGCAGGGCAGGGAGGCTTGGAAAGCAGGACATTCCCAACCCTGTCCAGGGACACTGGGGGACTCTCTCCTTTCTTCTGTGGGGCCTGACCACCCTTCCCTTCCCCCAGGGAGCCAGGACAGGCTTGGGAGCTGAGGGCTGGGGGCTTAGGGAGTAGAGGACGAGAAGGTTACCAGGGACTGCTGTCCTGGCTCTGAAGCCCCCACCCCCAAGGTCTGTGGGGTCCTCCTTCCGCCTCTGTTCCGTGCAGCTGACATAGCAGATGCAGGGCAGTCCCCGGGGGAGCCTGGAGCTGGCCCACATCTGGCCGAGGGGTGCCGGGTCACAGCTGGGACTCGCATGGCTTTCTGGGAGAGGGAGGAGCTGCTGTCAAGTGGGACAAGGAGCCAGAGAGCTCCTTGGGGTCCGGGGGAGGCTGGGCCACAGCAGGTTCTCAGGGGACACCTGGGTACTTACAGGGTGACCCATGCCCTCTAGCTGGGGGACACCAGTGTCCACAGCTGTCCCAGCATGCTTGGGGGGATAATGCATACAGGCCCACTCCGGAGGGAGCTGGGAGGCTTCTCCATGGGGTGGTGGCGGGCTGGGGTTGTCTCCAGACAGGGGCAGAGAGACGGACTCTGCTGGACGGGTTTTCCTCCCCAGCCCTTGTTCCCCACCCCCCTAACCCCCCCACCCCGTCTGCAAACCCAGGGGTGGGGCTGGCGCATGCTTCTCTGAGGTCCCTTCCACAGTCAGGGCCCCCAGGGTCACCCCTGGGGTATCTGGGACCAGTTGGAGGGGCTCTAGGTCCTCTGGCATCTCCAGACTCCCCAGAGACGGGGACAGTTGCCAAGTGGGAGTGGGGTGTTGGTGGGAGCGTGGGGGAGAAAGGGCGAGCGGGGGTCTCTGCTCTCTACCTCGCAGGCATGAAGGCACGCTGTCTGCACACTTGTTGGCTGTCCCTTCTCCTAGGTGTCCCGTCCGGAGGACAGACAGACATGGAGGGCACCTGGGTGGATGCTGGAGGCAGCTGGGCTTGCTCAGGTGTGGGTCAGCGAAAGGGGTGCAGGTCGTGGCCTCCCGCAGCCGGGCGCAGGGAACACACTCCTCCAGCTAGTCCGCTGCTGGGCCCCTGGCTCGGCTCGCTGGAGCCCCTGCCAGCCATGACTGCAGAGGCGCCCCTGCCTCCCTCTCCTCCTCTTCCCCACAGCTGCAGGGTGTGGGCCCTGAGCCCCAGCCCCCATGCCCCCTCCCCTCCCTGGCCTGGGCTGCAGGGCCTCCCCAGGTGGGGGTGGGGGCTGGGGGCCTTCCTCCACAGGGTCTGGGCTCCACACCCCTCCTCTAGCAGCCACAGCTAACTTGGCCCCTACCCCCACCTCCCGCCATCCTGGGTCTAGAATCCAGGCTCAAGTCCCAGATGTTGCCTCCCTCTGCATCAGCCCTTCCAGCCAAGGTCCCACCCAGCCCTCTCCCTCCCCTCCCACCTCTCCCCTCCTTCTCCCCCTTGGAACTTCCTAAAGCCCCTCCCCTCCCTGCCTGCAAGTCACCCGACTGGATCCCAAGCCCAGCCCCACCCTGATTCTCCACCGGCTCTCCCAGCTCTGAGAACAGGAGAGCTGGCCCTGCACTGCCAAGGCCCCACCTGGTCCCAGCCCACATGTTCCAGCCACGCCACTCAGGCACTGTGCTCCTATAACACACGCTCACACGCACGGAAGCACGCACGCATGTTTACATGTGCGCATACCCTCACGCGATGCACACGCACATGCACACGCATGTGCAGAAACACAGAAACACACATGCATACACACATGCAGGCGCCTGCACACACATGCACACTCGCACACAGCACACGCGCTCTTTCACCATCCGGTCAATTTCACCCCAAGATTATGACTTGGGGCCACCATTGGCTCCCCCCAAAGCCTCTTTCCAGAGCAGCACCCCCACCCAACCCCTCAGGTCAGTTACACTTTTCTGCTCCCAAGAACTGGCAGCTAGCTAATGCTTCATTTCTTATAGCCAAGCTTTGAAAAAAAAAGACAAAAACCCCAATCACCTATTACTCTCAGATATTAGTTAAGGACTGGTACGGGGTGGGGGGGGAGAAATCCTGGCCCGCAGGCTCACTTTCACTGGGAAAGGGACTTTCCTTAGAAGGAACCAAGATGTCTTGTATCAGCTCTTAACGATTTGGGAAGGGAAGCTAAATAGCTCTTTACTGTAATTCGAACAACTAAATTATTCATTGAGAGCGGCAGACAGAGATTGGACAGTGACCGGAGAGACAGGGGACCCCGGCCCAGCCTCATGCCCTGGGCATGGGGCCACCTCCCCTGGCTCCTGAGGGGCCAGTGCCAGCTAGACCAGTTAGAGGGGTCTGGGAAGTGGGTGGCCCAGGGGTCTCAGGGGGAGCTGTAGGGTGGATTCTGTGGATTCCGCTGGGAGAGGTAGGTGGGGGAGATGGGAGAAAGAACCAAAGGACCCTGGGTGCCCCAGCCCTCAGGAACTTGTCCGGATGGGAGGGGGTCTCACCTGCTCTGGCCAGGGGGACCTGAGAGGCCAGGTTCAGAGGTGCCTGGCTCCCCCATCCCATCTCCCTCCTGCAGCCTGGAACCTCTTTTGCTGACCCGCAGGAGGCTCGGGGTGGGAGGGAAGGAACAAGTGGACACACTGAGCTTGTCCCTCCAATTCAAAGCAGCCCGGGCTCCTCTCCCCTTAACGCCCTGTTCTGGGCCAGGGAGGGGTTGCTGCTTGAGAAATGCTTCCCAAAGCCACCCTGCCGCTCCCCAAGCCCAGGCCAGCCCAGGCACCCTGACCCAACGGGGGACAGGGACAGAGAACTAGAATGAAGTCCCCAAGCGCTGTTCTTTCAGTTGGGGGCCCAGCTCTGCCAACCCCTGTGGACTGGCAGGGCGTGTGGAGGGGCCCAGGGCGCTGACTGTCCCCTGGCCCCGTCCCCCTTAGGTGTCCTGGGCACGCGTCTCCTCTCCCAACAAGGAGGCAGGGCCCTGGGAGGGGAGACCCAGGCGCTCTGCCTCCCACGTCCTCCCACGCATGGCGCCCGCACGCGGAGCTGCCCGTGAACCCTCGAGGAGCGCGGGCGCGCGCACACGGAGGGCAGGGACGCGAGTGCGTGCGGACATGAGGACAGGGCGGGAGGTGGCAGCGCGGTAGGAGGGGATCAGGAGAGGACAAGAGGAAAAGTAAGAGGGGGCGGAGGGCGGAGGGCGCAGCCCGAGGAAAGCGGAGCCCTGGGGCCAGCACGTGCTGACTCACCCGCCTGCCTTCAATTTTCCCTGTTTCCTGGGGATTCTCATTTTATTTTCGGGAAAGCTGCCTGCTCTGTGACTAATTTGTTCTTAAACAAACCAAACCCAGGCAGCGGGGAGGCTGGGCGGGGCCTGAGTCACTCTCCACCCAGGGCGGGCCACACCTCAGGGGGCCTGGGCCTCCCCTCGCTCCCCAGGGCTCCCCAGCCTCTCAGCCTCGGCCTGGAAGTGACTCCCACGCTCCCCAGAGACGCGGCGCCCACTCCTGACCGGGGCGCCCTGGCCCGCAGGGGATGCCAGGCGGCTCGCTGTTCCCTGGCTGTCCGTCCACTGCCTCCAACGATGCCTGGCACAGAGTCAACACCCAGTTGATGTTTGTTGACTGACTGACTGACTCTTTGATTCCTCACACTTCTCTCCCAGGACCTCCTCAAACACTTCCTCCCGCACGGCCCCTCGGCTGTGTGACACGCACTTTACTAATGACCACGCTTTACCGGAACCACAGTCCACGCCAGACAGCAGGATAAATGGGCTCTTTCTCTGAATCTGTGTGACCACTGCAGGACCGTGCCTGGCCCCCCGGAGTGTGTTCCTAACCCCTCTGCCATCCCGGCTCACTCAGGCCTGTCTGTGCCCATCTGGCAGCAGAACCGGGTGCCGGGGTTGGGGGGGGGCAGCCTGCAGCCCCCAGGCACTGTGCGGGGCAGGAGGGAGATGCTGCTGCCTCCACTTCACAGAAGAAGAAACTGAGGCCTAGAGAGGCCTGAGGTCGCTGGGCCAGCAGGTAGTAGATGCAAGATTCGAACCCAGACCTCCAAGCACCCTCCACGACCCCGGCCGCCTGCAACCTGCTCCCCTCCGCTGTGGGCTGCGAATCGGGGGACCAGGGCTCTGCAGACAGCTCTGCCTGGGGCCTGGGGGTGCCAGGGCCACATGACCGTGGGGGGTGGGGGTGTCTTCTCCAGCCTGGGGGCCCGGCAGGATGCGGCCACCAAACCCAGGTCTCCACAGTGGGACGGGGACGTTAGCAGGACGGGTCATTGGCACGTGGAAAGAAACACAACCCCCGGGGCTTCTGGTTTTTTTTTTCCGGCATCCTCTTTAAATTTCAACTTTTATGGATACATAATATATAAGGCCAGTAATAAAGTGCCTATGGTTTATAAATAAATAAATATACATGCTCTGAGACGTTTTCCTGAAACAGAAGACTGCCCACACCCCGCTGCCGGCGGCTGCGCCCCGGGCTCCCCTAGCTGTAGCGGTGCGCAAGGGGCACTCGTGGGACCGCAGGGCCGCGGCCCAGTGGCGGTGGTGGGAGGCAGCAGCGAGGGGCTTCTCCCGGTGCCAGGAGGCGGCCCGCCCCGGCACCTCCTCCCGCCCGCCCCCAGCCCACCTGCAGCCTGGGCTGGGCGTGGCTGCGGGGCTGGCCCCCGCCTGGCCCTGGCGCCGCGCCACCTTCCACCGGGTGGCCGCGAGGATACCGGGAAGGGAGGCGGGTTCGCCCTGCAGCTGCGGGCTGCCCGCCCCGCGGCTTCCCCGGGCTGCCCCGCTCCCTTCCCTCCCCTCCGCCCCCGGCCCGCGAACGTGGCGCTGGGAGGCCCTGGGCGGCCCACGACGCATGCGATGGGTCCCGGGGGTGGCCCGCGCCCAGGGCGGCCCCAGCTCCAGCCACCCAGCCTGTCCTCGCCCGGGATTACGCTTCCAGTAAGCGCGAGCGAGCGAGCGGAGCCGGCCAAGTTCCCGACAGCCGGGCGCGGGCGCGCAGAGAGGCTCGGCAGCGCCTCAGCGGCTGCGTCTACACTGGCGATCAATGCGTGTCCGCGCCGGCCGCTGGGGGCTCCCCTCCTGCCCAATGCCCGGGCGGGGGTCCCAGCTCCTGTCCTTACTGGACAAGTTCCCTGCAGTTGAGAGCATGACCCCCGCGGCGTGGGGACCCTGCCTGCTGACCCCGGCTCTCACCAGCAGGCACCAAATCCTAGAATTCGGAAGTCGGACCAGCCAACCCCTCTCCCTTAACTAGAACTATTCTCTGCCCCCACCCCCACCCCAACTTTTTTTTTTTTTTTTTTAGGGATACAAGTGATTAGGGAGTGTTCACTCCAGTGAACTCCCAAGAGAAGCCAGAGCAGGGGATTTGCCCCCCACTGCAAAGTCACCAGGCCGGGGTGGCTGGCAGGGAGAGAGGGGCTTCACCCCACACCCCAGCTTCCGGCCCCCACCGGCAGCCCCAGCCCACGGCTCCAGTTGTCAGAGGCCAGTGGGCAGAGAGGAGAAAGGGCTAGAGACAGGGGACTGGGCCTTCAGGAAGGTGCAGGAACGATGCTTCGCCCGCCCAGGCCAGGGAGGTCGGATAGGGCCCAGCCCCTTCCTCAGGGACCTAAAACAGGAAGGGGTGGAGGGGCCCCTGGGCCGGCTGGGTGGCCTGTGTCGGTGGCGCTGGACTCCAGGGCTGTCCAGCCTGCCAGGGGCTTCCTCCCCTCCCCATCCCTGGAGACCTACAGATGGGGAAAGGTCCAGGAGGTCTGGGGGGCAGCCCCGAGCTGAGCACTCACCGCCTCCGCTCCGCACACCCCACCCGGCCGCCTGGGACCCCACTGGGCTGAATAAGGTCGTGCGCCCTCAGCGGGTGGCAGGTGGGGAGAGGGAGGGTGGCAGGGTGGCAGCCTCAGGCGGGGCAGCTGCACCTCTTCCGTGGGCCCCTAGCCTGCCAGTGGAGGGAGCCAGGCAGGAAGCCCAGAGCCAGCAGCAGGGCTTTGTGAGGTTCGGGGTGTTGGGATGGACAGTGAGAAGTGCCGTCCCGGACAGAGTATCCCCCTCAGGGGCCTGGCGAAGGCAGACTGGGAACTCGAGTCCTTTGACGTCCCTGGCTGCTGGGCAGAGTTTCCTTGCCAGGGACCCAGGGTTACAAGCCCCGAAGCCAGACGTTGGCACTAGAAACACATTTCCCACCGAGACATTGTGGAGAGTTGCAGGTTCACGCCCAGTTGGAGAGAGGATGCGGGCAGATCTCGGGCACACTTTGCTCAGTCCCCAGGCCTCACCGGCAATGTTGTCCAAAACTACGGGACAGTATCACAACCCCCATGCCGACCTTGACACAATCCGCCCACCTATTCAGATGCCCCGGTATTACTTGGACCCATGTGGGTGTGTGCTTAGTTTATATCATCCTGTCACCTGCATTGGTTCCTGTGTCCACCACCGCAGTGGAGACGCTGAACGGTTCCAACACACGGGCTCCCTGGAGTTGAGTTACACTTTTATAATCACACCCCCTCCCTCTGGCACTCCCTTCTCCATTTAAAAAGTGACTTTTTTTTTTTTTGAGACAGAGTCTCGCTTTGTTGCCCAGGCTAGAGTGAGTGCCGTGTTGTCAGCCTCACTCACAGCAACCTCCAACTCCTGGGCTCAAGCAATCCTCCTGCCTCAGCTTCCCGAGTAGCTGGGACTACAGGCATGTGCCACCATGCCCGGCTAATTTTTTCTGTATATATTAGTTGGCCAATTAATTTCTTTCTATTTATAGTAGAGACGGGGTCTCTGTCTTGCTCAGGCTGGTTTTGAACTCCTGACCTCAAGCAATCCTCCCGCCTCGGCCTCCCAGAGTGCTAGGGTTACAGGCGTGAGCCACCACGCCCGGCCTGGGATCAATTTCTTTAACCTTTTGTTTGGACAGTTGGTGTCTTAGTCCTCTTGTGCTGCTACAACAGGATACCTGAGACTGGGGAATTTATCAACAAGAGGAATTTATTTCTCACGGTCCCAGAGGCTGAGAAGTCCAAGATCAAGGTGGTGGCAGAGTCAGTGGCTGGTGAGGGCCCCTCTCTGCTTCCAAGATGGTGCCTTGTCACTGTGTCCTCTGGACAGGACAAACGCCGTGGCTCACGTGGCACAGAAGGGCGGGACAGAAGGGCAGAAAAAGGGCCAAATACTGGTGGAAGGCTCTTCTATAAACACCTTAATCTCATTCACGAGGGAGGATCTCTCATGACCTAATCACCTCCTAAGGAACCCACGTCTTAATACTATGGCATTGGATATTAAGGTTCACCATGTGAGTTTGGGGGGACACCTTCAGACAATGGCAGTTGGAAAGCTAAAAGTCATTTCCCAGGCTCCCTTTGGGTGTGACTTCCCCTTCCGCCAGCAGAGGCACTCTTGAGGAATGGGAAGGTGGAAGAAAGGTAGATTCTGTCTTTCTGCAGGTGGGGGCGTGAAGTGGGTTCCAACAGAAACACCGGTTGGCAGTGGCTGGATCTCACATTCCGCCCGCCCGCTGTGTGGGTATGGCGGGGAGGGGACTGCAATGGAGGCCTTCCACCTCTCCCAGTGAGTTTATAAATACCTAATTCCCTCTGTTGAATCCCTTTCTGCGTGAAACACCTGAGGTGGTTTCTCCTTGCACAGAACCCTGACAGTTACACAACCCAAAATGAAGCCAGAGGGCACAGAGATGATGGTGCATTTGTCCAAAGCAATACTGGGATGGAGGGGTGGGGGGAGAGAGAGCCCTTTGGAGGCTGGTATGGAACGGCCTAAGACATCCCTTAATAATTAAGGGATAAAAAGCAAGGTGCAGCACGGTGTGTATAGTGTGCTATGATCTGTGGGGGGAGGAAGGAAGACAGTGAGTGTGTGTGCATGTTTGCTTGCAGATGCATAAATATACTTGGAAGGATACATGTTATTAAAAAACATCTTGTAATCTTGGTTGCTTTCGGGATGGGGAATTGGGTGGGGACAGGGATGTACTCATTTCCTGTGTCTGCTGTGAGAACTTAATGGCTTAGAGCAACACAGGGTATCATCTGATAGCTCTGGAGGCCAGAAGCCCAGCATGGGCCCCAGGACTGGTTCCTTCTGCTGATTCTAAGGGAGACCTTGCCTTTTCTAGCTTTGCTGGATGCCACCTTGCTGCCTTAGCTCGTGGTCTCTTTGTTATGGACTGGCTGTCTGTGTCCCTCCAAAATTCATATGTGGAAGCCCTGCCCCCCAGTATGATGGTATTTGGAGACGGGGCCTCTGGGGGCTGACTAGGGTTAGACAAGGTCGTGATGGGATTAGGGCCCCTGTAGGAACAGACCCAGAGAGCTCGCTCTTGCCTTCTCTCTGCAAGCCAGGAGGAGGCCTCACCAGGAACTGAGTCAGCCAGCACCTTGACCTTGGGCTTCCCAGCCTCCACAATGGTGAGAAATAAATTGTTGAAACCACCACCCAGCGTGTGGTATTTTGTTGCAAACAGCCCAAGCTGATCAAGACCTTCTCCCTCCCTCCTCAAAGCCGGCAGGTGGCATCTTCTCCTCCCGACCTCCTGCCTCACTCCTCCAAGCACCTGCGACTACATGTAGGGCCACCCAGATGGTCCAGGACAGTCACCCATCCCGGCATCCCTAACTTCATCACAGCTCCAGGTCCCTTTCGCCACGTAAGGTAACGTAGTCACAGGCTCCAGGGACGGGACACGGGCACCTTTGGGGATCCGTTATTCAGCCAACCACAGACAAAGCGGCGTTTCTCAGTGAAGCCTTTGCACATTTGAACGTTTTAGAAAAATTTTAATGTTCTCTTTTCTCCCTCTTTTTTTTACTACAGTGGACTTAAAGTACTAAGTTGTCACATTTGAATTTTGAACCATATGAATGCATCACTTATTTAAAAATACAATGTCAGTTAAACAAACAAAGGAGACCAGAGATGAGACCAAGGTGAGCCCAGAGGCCCCCAGGACAGGGAGGGGAGGCTGGGGGGCCACCCCCTCCCTGGGCCTTGGTTCTTCCCTCTTTTTCTTTTTTTATTTTTTTGAGATAGAGTTTCACTCTGTTGCCTGGGCTAGAGTGCCATGGCATCGGCCTAGCTCACAGCAACCTCAAACTCCTGGGCTCAAGCAATCCTCCCGCCTTGGTCTCCCA